TCATCGCTGGCATGGCATTATTCGGCATTGCCGATCCTAATGGTCAACATGCGGGGAAACTGATCATCCGCTAGTGCGTGCATCGGTCTGCATGCGTTTCGGTGGCTCGTCTAGGACTAGACAAACTCGAATTAACTCTGGTAAACTGGAAGACCCCGCCGTGCAATTGGAATCTCGAAAGCAGCTTCATGAGAGCCTCACTACTCCTCCTCCTCCTCGGGATGTGGATCAGCATTGGTCGCGATTGCAACAGATTATGTTTTCATCGGGTCTTGTTTGTTACACAACTAAAAGTTGGGTCTCGGCCACCGCGGAACTTCTCAACTATCGACTGGCTATACCCGTCATTGTACAGCTTACTGAACTCCGCCATTTTGTTTCCAGACAACTGGAAGTGAGTCTTCGCCGTGATCGTGAATCCTGGTGGTCTAAACAGGCCAAGGACATGAAAGTTGCTGCTTCTGCTGGTAATAGCCGCAAGTTGTTTTATCTCATCAGATCCACCGGACACAAATTTCAGGCCATCAGTCAGACCATCTGTGAGTCAGACGGTACAAAGATCACCAACCTACGCAGACGCTTGGATCGCTGGGCGGAGCACTTTTCTCTACAGTTTAATTGCCCAACACAACTTCCGGTTACACATCCACTGCCATCATGTGATCCTTGGTCAGTCTGCATACATCCTCCCACTGAAGCAGAAATACGGAGAGAAATCCAGACTCTGAAACGCCACAAAGCTCCTGGCCTTGACAGTCTTCCTCCGGCCTTGTACAAAGACGGAGGAACTTAGTTGTCACCGAAATTCCATCACAGTTCACAAAGGTATGAAGCGATGAGAAGGTTCCTAACTCATAGGGAGAATCTGTTGTGGTTCCGATTCACAAGAAGAGCTCTCATAGGGAATGCACCAATTACCGAGGAACCTCACTTATCTCTGTCGCGTCCAAGCTCTTTGTGTCCATTCTGCTGCGTAGACTCTCAGTTACCCGCGAGAGTTTGTGTCGTGAAGAACAGACTGGCTTTCGTTCTGGCCGTGGTTGCATTGACCAAATTTTCACGTTGCGTCAAATTCTCGAACATAGTCATGTCCACCGAAGATCAACGATGGTGGTGTTTTTGGATATCCGAGCCGCTTTTGTTTCAGTAGACAAGTTATCATCGTGGAACTGTCTGCTACGGAACGGCATTCCCGACAAGTTTGTTATACTCTTGAAAGAGCTGTATAGTCACACCTCTGGCAAAGTTAGAGCCTATGGAAGGCTTTCTTCTTCCTTTCCCGTTACCAGTAGAGTGCGCCAAGGTTGTCCTATCTCGCCGTTCCTGTTCAACTTTGCTATTGAAGATGTCCTACATCGCGCATTGGAAGGAGCCCAGAGCTGCGGCGTTGAGCTTCTACTCGTGAGTAGAGTCCTGCACCTGGACTATGCTGATGACATCGTTTTGATGGGGGACGACACGCAAGTTGTTCAAAACATTCTGAACCGCTTAGCGATAGAGTCATCTAACTACGGTCTGTATTTTGCCCCATCCAAGTATAAAGCTTTGCTCCAGGATTGGTAGGCTCCTGTGTCTACACTCACCACTTCGGGTGTCAGCCTGGAGTTCGTTAGCAGCTTTACTTACCTCATTTTTCTTTTTTTTCATTTACTTACCTCGGGAGTTGCATTACGGCTGGTGGCGGTATTGGCGATGAAATTTCACAACGAATTGCCAAAGCACGCCTTGCATTTACTAACCTGAGACACTTGTGGCGTCGTCGCGATGTCAGTCTCAAGCTCAAAGGCCGAGTGTACAATGCCACAGTCCGTGCTGTCCTACTGTACGGTTACGAGACCTGGCCTGTTCGATCGGAAGATTTGAGACGACTATCTACTTTCGACAACCGCTGCTTGCATTCGATTGCTCGCGTATGGCGGCAGCACCATGTGAGCAACGCGAAAGTTAGAAGCAGAATCATAGGAGCGGATAGTCCTGGTCTCCAGACCATAATCATCCAGCACCAATTGCGTTGGCTTTATCACGTACTGCGCATGCCGACCCACCGCCTTCCACATTGCGCGAATGGGAAAAGAGCCGCGGCGGACAACCGATAACCCAGAAAATGAGTATGAAGATCCTAACTTGGTGTCTAGCGTCAGTTGGATCTGTGCGTCTTCCAGGCTGGGGGTCACGTGAAGCGGATTCCCACTAGTTGGAAGTCTTGGAGGATATGGCCCGCAATAGGAGTCAGTGACGTCAATGCTGTTCTACCATCACTTCATCCTGTGCTTTTAATGTTGAACAAAACATGAAAACAGAAAAAACTCAAAACGGCGTGTGTGAAACTGAAAAATTTTTTGCTAACGTTTTTCTCTCCTCGTTGAACATTACATTCTCCTTTCCATACCACCATGATTCGGATGGCACATTTTTCTGTTTACAGATTTGTGGATAAATATACTGCAATTTCTGGATCATGTTTTGTGTGATCTCGTTTCGCAGATTTCGGAGTTCCGTCTTACGAATGCTGCTCTACCATTTTGCGTCACTTTCACGTCATTTTCCCAAAATATCAAAGAAACCACCTTGTAATTCCTGTTCGAAAATTGTTGGACATACCAAATGCCCTTACTTGCTTTGATTGCTGCATTTGATTTCATATTTTTTGCGTTGAATTACATGTCATTTCCTATGCTTTCTTGCGTTCCATTCAATATAATTTCGTCCAAATTTTGTGCAACTATTGTCGGTGTCTAACGCGACCAGAGAAACATATGTCTATCAATGTAGATCGCGACCAGAATTGTTTAACTTCGAGCATTCCTATATATATATATATATATATATATATATATATATATATATATTGTCGCGCATACTTTCCTAGATTCCATCCAGTGTTCAGCCCAGCCTTCCATTCTCTTTCCTCTGACAGCTCCTTAATTTATTCCTAATATATCCGGATGAATGACAAACTGAGGCTAATGATCCGCTGACTTTGCGTTCCACTAGCTCTAAAACCCCGATGAATATCCGTTGGTTGAGGGGCCATGGAAAGCTCAATGACGGAGGAAGTCGCGAAGCGAACATAGCTTCCAGCTGCTGTTCAACAACAAGCCATGTGAAACAAGTTTCGGGGTCACTCTCATTCCGCGGGAGACGCTTTAAATGATAAGAGACGATCAAACTGGTCCCATGATGAAAGCGCATACGAAAAAGGCATACACAATGCTCACAGATATAAATGCGCACACGAAAATTGCGTACACGCAAAATAACGCACATCGAAATGTGCTAGGTCATTCATTTGGCACGTACTCGACTGCTCTAGGTGCCAAAGTCCACATGATTCGTTCAGAAAATCCAAATAGCAGAGCTTTTTTCGCCTACTGTACCTTACCGAAACCAGCGATTTGACGGCTGGAACACAGTGTGAGTAGATCGAGGTTGGTGGTTGTGTCCCGCCAAGCCTGATCCTTGCAGGTATCAAATTGTACTATTGAACCTTTGTTCGCCACTGACCATTGGTATGCACATGGAAAATGGGTTGTATTCTGGTGATTCCCCGGTTTATTTGAGTGTGACGTTTACAATTGTAATCTAAATTGATTTTTCTATTGTACACTTAGCCGACCGATGCGAAGCGTTGCCTGTAAGTTCTAGTCGTTTGACCGAACCGGAAAACACGCCCGTGGTTTTATCTCTCACACCTGCAACGCGCGCTGCTAATCTCGTTTTTCTAGCCAGCACTTCTCATCAGTGTCGTACTATAGCGGAACAAGAAGAATGTGTCCCTTCATGATTTCTTTCCTCTGAGCTAATCTATGGGTCTGTCTCTATATAATGCTCTCGTGGAAGACCGCCCACTTTCACATTCATGTGCCACGTAAATCATTCTTAATAAGGCATTCATATTGAAATAGGTGGTTGCATAACATGGAACTTCTCAAATACACATTAAGTGTACAGGATCTGATTATAAGAGTAATGCTTGCCGATCTTCACAACTAAATCACTCGTCGTTTGTCCCCCGGTGATACTAATAATGTTCATTACTGCAAGTTTGCCAGTCTTCGCAGGTGTTTCACTTTCTCTGTCGCCTTTTCATAATCTCTGTCACATGGTACGGCCGCATGTTGCATCGTACCAAATATTTTCTGGGATGACTGCAGTGGAGTAGGGAGTTCAAGGTATTGTGGAATCCCTCACAATAGGGAATGATACTTCATAGATAGCTTGTACCTACGTCTCCAATTCGTGCGAGAAGCAGGACATTCAAAACCTAAAATAGGTCAAAACTTAGTTGCCATTCTGACTTGTTGATAACGCTTCAGAAAGGAATAGTATTACTTGTTAAAGTTTACTGCGCAATATTGTTTTGCAAGTCCATAGGGTATCTCATTCAACATTTTATCGTCAGAAATTTCAAAATAACAAATAAACAACAAATCTACTCACTGGAACCAGTCGTTACACGTGTTTCCGTCGGCCGTTTACATACAACTAGTAGAATAATTTGCCGCCTCCACAGACAGTATAAGAGCAGTGTCACTAGCTAAACATTGGCGATCGATGCTGGCCAGGGTTCTGCTCACCGGAACGCGGTCACCAACTTTACAAAGACAAAACAAGACTAGCCACGAACTCGGCCTGTTTACACCATTTGCTTTGAGCCGCCGAATCTCTGAGACTTTCGCAAATTGCAGCGGACAAGCAGTCCTCTGTCTGTTGTGTACTGTGAATGAATCGCGTAGGCTTTGCCACATAGGACGGCATATTTCCGTGTGCGTATTTTTCTGCACGCAACTTTCGTGTCCGCTTTATTCTGGTCCCTGTCAATTTGCCTCCGAACCGGAAGAGTGTAGTTTATCTCCTTCAATTTTGACGGGGTTTGTTAACCGTTTGGAATTCTGATCTCACTGTATTTCTATCCATGCGCACAACCCACATTTACACAGGCAACATTGTGCGCTTCTTGAATTGACTTCATTTTTATTGTTTTTATCCTTCCTGAATAGGTATCTCTGATGACAATGCATCTAATTCTCATCAAGGACCCAACGTTTCACATCGACCAGATCCTTGTATTTTAGAGCAGATTGTTCGAGCCCGATTACATCAGACTAGTAAGTTTTTACTTTTTTATAAAAACGTACTGTCCTACCACACTTCCTCTGTCTTCCCTTTGATCTACAGCTTGTTAATGTTCTTTTGTTACTTGCACTCTATTAGCTTGTCGCACCCCAAATAGTTTCTGCTTGGTTGTCTCACTGCTCCTTTGGGTTCGTTTCAAATGGTGGGGATTTAGGTCCCATCATTGTTAGCTGAATTATGTACAAGATGACTGATACGACCTTGAGGAGATCGACTTTTAATGCAGCACAATATTGTCTTTACGAGTATATCGCTACTTGTTCATAGATTCCTAAAGTGCCTGATCAACTCCATTCCATGGTTATCTACCGGTTTACCTGCGCTTGTGGGAATAGGTACATTGGATGCACCACTATGCACTTAAAAACGCCAATCAAGAAACATTTGCCGAATTCGCTTATCAATAAGAGAGACAGAGCTAACTTGAGTGCAATAACTCACTGTCTGATTTGCACGAGACATAAAATAGACAAACATACTGCTTTCGAAAACCTCTATGAAATATCGCCGCAACTAAGTCACTAGTCAGATGCACGGCTGCTTACTACCGCTGAAGAGGTATGCATTTAGATTAAAAAAACCAAATGTGTGTTTTCAGAAGAAACCCGTTGATGCAACAAGAGTGGGCAGCCGATTCACAGCTTGTCAAAGCGCTTGGGGCCTTAGGCCGAACAACTGGAGAAGCAGTTCAATTAGTCAGATTTGTCAGTTTCTCCATCAGCCAATGATCGCCCTACTCCCTGAACCGTTATTTTGGATCCGCCCTCACGTACAGAGATCGAACGTGAGATCAGACGGCTGCAATTGAACAAGGCCGCAGGAGCAGATGGACTTCATCCAATCCTTCAAATTAGGAGGCCTTGTTCTCTTTTGGACGATCTGCATAATTTACGAGTGAACCTGTGGGAGCAGGAGACTATCCCAACGGCATGGAACCACTCCGTTATAATCCCAATTGTCAAGGGAGACCCGTTTCGAATGCGGCAGTCATAGAGGACTCAGTTTGATCTCAATTGCCTCTAAGTTATTTGTCTTTATCGTCCCGCTTAGACTAACTGACCCCCGTGAAAGCCAGATGTGTGAAGATTAGAGCGTGATTCGTTGAAATCGAGGCTGCATTGACCACATCTTCACATTGCGTCAAATGTTGGAGCATCGCCGTGTTTATTGGCGACCATCTTACTGTTGTTCTTAGACATCAAAGTGGCTATCGATTTGGTGAATCTGTGTACCCTTTGGGAATGCACAATGAGGAATAGTGTGCGCGAGAAATACCTAAATGTCACAAGAGCGCTTTACCCGCATAGTTCGGGCAGAATGACGGCTTACGGCAAACTGTCGCTGCCCTACACTCTCTCCAGCGGTGTGAAACAAAGTAGCCTGTTATCACTTTTCCTCCTTAACTTTACCATTGGAAAAGTCATGAGGACGGCTTTCGCCTAACACTACTTAGTAGGTGTGGAGCTGCTCCCTAATGATCAACTCCTTGACTTGGAGTAAACCGACGATATTGCTCTCATCTGTGATAGCTCCCAAACATGACAAACAGCACTGGACCGATTATTGCTGACTGCCAGTCGTTTCGGACTATGCTTTGCACTTTGAAATGCAGTCTTTATCCAAGTTTGGCAGGGGTCCACTCCCGCGCGGACCCTTGACGGTGATCAGCTACAAGTCGTTCAGGAATTCAAGTACTTAGGCAGCTATATTAGCCCCTTCCGGATTAAATATGAGGTCACGAATCCTATAGCGAAAGCTCGGGGGCGCTTTGGCCAATCTCTTCCACCTGTGGCGCTGGCGTAACATCACTGTCGCTCTGAAGGGCAGAGTTTACAATGCACCCGTGCGTTCAGCCCTCCTGTACGGTTGCGGAACCTGACCCATTAGATCGGCAGACGTAAAGACGCTAGCTACGTTCAACCACTGGTAGTTTGGCTCGTATCTGCTGGGAACACCTTGCTCGGCGCCTTGTTTATGGCACAGGAGAAGAGAAAGTGAACCGCTCAGCACCACTATATCACGCATCTGGTTCCGATGGCTGGGCCACGTGTTGCGCATGCTAGCCCACCAACTAGTGCGACGTGCTTTGTTTGTTCGACAGGGGTGTGGATGAAAGAAGAGGTGGAGTGGTCAAGCGATAACTTGGTCAAGGTGAATGAAGGCCTTTACTTCGAAGTCGGCCTCGGTTGGAGCCTCTCGGCTCCTTGGTTGGGGTCCGAAGGATGATGAACACATCTGGCCGGATACATTTGTCGACATGGCTAGGGGCTCTCCTCCGTGGCGTTTGTGTTATGAGTTGCTTTGTCCGCTTAGCCTCCCCTACAGTCAGGTCTCATTTCCTAGGCCTAATATAAATCTATTTTTATCACAATAGCTCTCTTAGATGATGCCCATCCGTTAGTGGTGGCCCAGCTAACGTGCCTCCGTTACATGTTTATTTCTTCTCTTATATATTGCGGCACAATAGCTGTGTCTTCCACATCTAGCTAACGTGCATAATGGTGATGTCCTGAATTCCTGATTGATATAACCATCACAAGCTGTTCATCAAATGTGTAGACGTTAGCTGCTTCAACCTCTCCCCTTTCGATGAGTCATTCCCAATTTGTTCATATGCAAAGGATAGTTGTGAAACATTTATTTTTGACTGATCTCGTCAGTAAACTACAATTGTGGATTGCATTAACGTTTGAATAATAATCTATTTCTAGACGAGAGCAGTTTTACCGTGCCGAGTTTGTGAGACGCCGCGGTCAGTGGCCAGTTTAGAACACACAACTACTGATCAATGGGCCAAAAGTCAGCTGGCTGATTTACGGCCATTATAGAATAATCCTTTACACGAGTGCCTTCCGTTTACATTATTCCAGTTGCAGCTTTCTTATCACGATGACTTCCGCAGTGGCCAGCATACGCTTTCTGATTCCGTTTGGGGGTCCTTTTGCTGAAATGTGGAACGCTTTAAAAGCGCATTTTGTCGGGATATGATGTTATATATAAGCGTTCTTCAATTTCTTATGTGGCACTTTACAATGTCTGGATCATTGGGCTTACCAATGTACGAGGTCATTGCCAGTGTGCAATCGTTCTTTGAATCGGATGGCGTTAAAATGTAAACCAACGATGTTTTCAACTGCTGCACAGATTTCGGCTCCACGCTCTGTTCTGACAGACTGTCCAAAACATTTACCAATCTCCGTTCGTAGTACCGGGGTGTGAAACGCTCTAAATCCGCCACCACAAGCTTGTACCGGTGTCCGCGTGCGTTGCATGGCGTTCACAGGTGGAGCAGTGGCCTCGACATGGGGAGGTCACCGAGATGCAATATGCGGTAGGTCACGATGAGATCGACTCAGCCGGCGATAGGACAAGGTGTAGAGTCATAGTTTCTCGCACCGGTCTTCGTACGTTAATCCTCGTAACTCAAGAATGAGCCTGATTTCGACGTGTTGGACGCGCTCCATCTTATGTGCTTCGACTCGAGTGATTGAACAGTAGGCAGGTGACCCGTACTGCAGTATCGGTCATATGATGGAAGAGAAGAAGCGAGTGACGACCTCTTCAGACCAAGTACGAAAGCTGCATTTGCTCACCCATAGGATGCGCGGTCCTGTTTGTGTTGTTCACGGACTTTAACTCACAACGTGCGAGAGTACACCTTGATCCTTTACGGAAGGTGTGGGATGCAGCAGTTGGCCGTCAGTAGTGCACGTTCGGCCCTCACCACTCATGCTACTGAATACTCATTTAGATGAGTTGACCGGGAGGCGGACTTCCACAGACCACATGGAGAAGCGGTTGAGGTCGTGCTGAAGTAGACTGCAGTTGTCTATGGTTCTAATTTCTCTCCAAATCTTCAGGTCGTCCGCAAACTGGGCACACGGCGACCGAAGATGCAGAACTAGATCGTTGATGTAGATTAGGTACAGAGTGGATCCCAGCACCGTGCACTAGGATACACTACTACTAGAAGGATACCAGACAATTAGATGGACGTCGACCTGTACCCTCCACTTTCGCACAACGAAAGGGTCCTGTATCCACTAATGCAGTGATCTATCAATACCGCAGACTATCAGCCTATCTAGGAGGACCTCATGGTTTACACTTCACTAAAAGCGACATAGGTTAAGTCGATAGATTTCCCCTCGTTCGCTGCCTATAGCCAATCATAGCTCATCTCCAACAGGTTGGTAATTCATTAGCGTCCTAATATAAAACCGTCCTGTGCGGGCGTCATTATAGACTTTGATTGCAGCAGCTGCAGTAGACCTTTTCTCATCATCTTCTCAGGAACACTTGCCAAAATGTATGTTTTACAAATTGGTCTGTAGTTGTCCACTTTACTGAGGTCATCTCCTTTCGGAATTGACTTTACCACTGAGCATTCCAACTTGCTCGGTTAAGTGTTTTCGAACAATGATCTGTTGAACAAGTCAGTCACAGTAGGCCAGATGATAGCCTTATAGAGATCAGTGGGTGGAGTCCGTCCGGCCCATCAGGCTTGGTACCGTCGACGGCGAATAGTTGACACACGTCTTTAACACCGCAAACTAGACTGTCGAGTTCGGTAGCGCGGTACACATCGAACTTGGTAAAGGAACCTGGTCATTTACAGACACGGAAGCGAATTGCGGATACACGCTCAATGCTGGAGGTTAAGTGCTGTCCGCCCGAACTCTCTAGCACTGCTAAATCACCCGCCAGCATAAGGCGTCGCTTTAAGTAAGTAAATATTTTTTCGGGGCGGCAGTTGCGAGCTGCTCCTCGGGATACCGTCACTTGCTCGTTTTAGCATTCCTGTAAATATTTCGCTGCCTTTTATACGCTTCGTAGTCGTTGGCAAAACTGGAGAGAAGCAATTTTTCTCACACTGCGCCGCCTGGCCATTTTGCCATACTCCTTGTCAAATCAAACTGGTCCATCGTTTCGACACTTCAATGATACAAACCAAGAACGCAGCAATGTCACTCCCTGTCTTATAACAGCCCAACAGTTTTCCACAGATGCAGCCAACAGTAGATATCAATCTACTTGGGTCGCGGATGGAGCTAAACCGTCGAAATCATTTTTCACTAGTTGTAAGCTGGCTCTAACGGACGAGAATACGTTATGAGCACTGAGTGGCTGTTTGTTGCTAGGGCCTCCGAGATTTGAACGTCATACACATGTGAATAGTAGGGGGGTTTGTTGGGTTTTTGGAGAATGTTCGTCGCAGCTCGACTTAAAATGACATTCGCCACATCCCGGTTGTTTCGTCTAATTGGGACTCATTAGCAGCGCGTACCCGCCGAATCCTGCTAGATTCGAACCCATCACCGTACTCTTACAAGCCAATGACGTGTGCCACTGAGCCATGGTTGACGGCGGCGGACCGCCATGATTGATATCTAACTGCGATATGGCGCAACTCACCCTCCACTCTCGTACATGTTGTGAGCGTGAAGGGGATAGTGCTAGCCCCCATAGCAACGATTTCATTTGCAAGCTGTCACCATTTGAGGTGGTACGTAAGCTGCTCAGGCGATTACTGAGCCTAGCGGCGATGAACCTTCACAAAACCCAGCAAATCCCCTACTATTCAATAATAGTCAGTTATACCCATGGTCACAGCTTGTGATCATGTAGTCTAGGCACGAGTAAGTTGAGCGTGGTGTTGGCAATGGAGGTGGTTACTTGCTGCCAGAGGCTCCAGGATCCGAATATCCTATACATGTTCATAGCTTATGAACATCGTGTCTAAACACACCGGAGTTGAGCGCAGTGTTATGCGTGTCCATTTTCAGACGTGTTGTGCTGTCCCAGTTTAAGTACTATTTCAGCGGACTGCTTCGGCCTCATAATATCCGGTGATAAGTTGAACTTCAGCCTAATGCATTCAAGGACAATTGAAATCGCCTATGAGTAGAAGATGGGGACGACTCATATAATCCTGGAGATGCGGCAACCAATCCAAACAACGGCTCGGAGAACTACGATAAGTGCATCAACGAGTAGCTCTCCGCGCCTGAGGTGGATGGGCACCATAGCAGCTCACACAGGCCATTGCTTTTTCTTTGGACTCTCACAAGTCTTCCACGCAGAGATGACCGGATATAGAGCAAGACGGCACCTCGGGTTGTCGAGAGTCGATCGTCGCGAAAGCATGAGTAGGCACTGAAGTCGTTTTCCTGGGCAACCACATTTGAATTCAACCATGTATCTGCGAGCCCCACTACGTTTGACCGCTCATATGCAACGAAATGACAGAGCTTATCACACTTGTTCATAAGACTGCAAACCTTGATAAAGATTGTATGCAAGCCGGAACAGGAACCGCTGGGCGCGCTTGAAGTGTGAACGACCTCTTTATCCTGTTTCGTGGGATCTTGAAAATGATCCAAAATTTACAGTACGGGGATTTGTTTCCTCATCTCTGTTTCGTCTTTTTAGCTTATTGGTAGTAGACTTGAGCTGTTCTCGATTCACCGGATCCAGGTCTTAACGAATATGGATCTTCAAACTTTTTAGCCTATTCAGGCGGGATCAGATCAACCTCGTACTGCCTTCGTCCACAAAGATTATTCTCATTGGCCGACTTTGTTGATCACTATACTTTCCAAGACGCCTCAATTTCAACCTGTCCTCACAGACGCCGAGGAATCTATCAATTAGACTCCGTAACAATTCGACGTTATGATCATGGTGCATCAGGAGAGTTGTATCACTGGATTCAGGCGCGTAGAAGATCATGAGGTTCAAACATCTCTGGTCAGCCCAGATTGCCCTCGGAGGGCAAGGATTTTCCAGAGCTTCGCGTGCTTTGAATTGCCGTTGGTTTAAAAAAGCTAAACTCTTTTCATCCGTCTACTTTTCCTTTCCTTGCACTCTCCAAGTGTCTTGAGTATACAAGCTTTCACACACCGGAACATCTGTACCCGTTGGATACAACACAGATAATAGGTTAGTGTCAAGTTAAACTGCGCTGTCCGCAACCGCGGGACTTCGGATCAGTGAGTTTGCACGGGACAAGCAGGAAAACTTATCTGAGACCTGGAGATGCTTTGAGCTAGCTTGTTGGGCCAAACACACGGAACTGCTCCCAGCAAAATAATTCAGCCTGCAATTCTGTTTGTGATACTTTTTTACCTTCTCCAGCTGTATATCGTTTCCGAATTTCACAAAATGTGGACGTAATCACGTTGGATTTCACGAAAAAGACGTAACCGCTCAATTGATAGTCCAATGTATGAAATGTGGAATTTACCGTGACACGTTATTACACTTTACAGATTTCCGACAACCTTGGAACAGACATCGCAAGGTGATTGTTTCGGCATTATGAATAATCCGAAGCCAAGATGGGCACCAGTTGTGGAGCACAGCGCGATTGTTAGATCCCCAAAACTAAACGGGCATACCGCCAGTATTTATGATCGAAAAATTCAGAATCAGGAATAAAACCGAATGATATCGTAATTTTCACGAAATAATCTAGCTAACACAGCCAGAAAAGAACTAACGAAAGGCCACTAACCGCAGACCACATGCTGAGTGATCAATTTCAAACACAGCCAGAAGTTTGCTGACTGCTCTATAGTCATGGCAAAATAATGCTTTGTACAAGTACTTTCTGTTTGTACAATTCCGGTCGCATCTCTTTGATTGCGATTCCACATAGTTTTTGTCCTTGAAAGTCTTGTCGGTTTTAGGAGGCCTCCTACTCTTTATTCCATATGTTTGCGTTTTGGCTTCATTTCTATACGTAATCCTCCGTAGTCCCGTTTCATCGCGATTTGACGTCACGATCTTTTGTGTTGTAGTTGCGAAGCATGCCGGCTGGAAAATGTTCCCCAGTGATTTCTTCCTTTCTGTGTTGGAAGCAACATTTTGTTTCTGAATGTCCACCGTCCGTCTATCTTTCTTAGTATTACACCTAGTTCTTATAATTTCTTTTCCGATTCCACACTAATTATACTAGGTTACTATCTTAGTGTTATTCAAGCTGGTTTCTAAATTTGAGACACTACGCTTTCCATGATATATGCTTGTTTATTTGAATGCAGTGCCCTATCCTGCTCTCCAGCTAATATGCGGCTCGCCATTCCCTTTGCCCTTCGAGCATTACCATTTTTCCTGCGTTCCTATGCCAGTTTGATGCCTACCTATAACCATTGGTGTATCCAATGACGGCGGCATCAGTTGCATCACTATGCTGTCATACTTTCACATTACCAGCTTCCGCTCTCGTTCAGGACTCGGATGAACGCTCGACGGAACAGATCTGGTATGCGCTATTTGAACGTATCTTTCTGTTGGAGGACTCGAACCATGAATCAAGCGCGGGGCCACGTGATGATCTCCTGTTTTTTGTTAACAAAAGATTATTCGTGGACGCGAATGTGAGTTCTCGGGATCTTCCTGCACTGGTTTCGCTGTCACATTCAATGCGATCATGAGAACACGTTTCTCCCCTTATTTTCCGCACCTTTTCTTAGAACCTGGAGCAGTTAACCCGTGATCTTTGCTCCAGACTGTTGTTGTTTACGCCCATTTTCACCTCCATCCTCTCCTACTTTTCGATCCGATAATTTCAGCTAAAGACCTTCGAGTTGCGTACTAATAGTAACTGGTACCTCATTAAGTTTGCGTTAATGGAGAATCCGAAAGACTGCTCGCACCATGATCACCGTTTTCTATACCTTATCCCTCTGCACATGACGCGCTGAGATTACAAATGAATTGGTTGTTATCTGTGTACCATTGCTCATATTTAGTGGAAATACCAAGTGAGTAGTTATGAAGCTTGTTATTTGGTGTCCGGGAACGGACGCTTTAGTGTGGTGCTGAATGTGCTTAGCTTGGCTTCGGTATGCCCTCCCTATGCCTATCGAGCACTCGCTCTTGTATGCATCCTCGAGCACCGAATGTGGTTCTGTGAAGAAGCTTCGGCTGATCAGCCATAGTTGAGTATTTGTTTATCAGGCACGTCCCCAAGTTGCTGGCTGTGCGATGCAATCCTGGTGCACGTAACTACGAACAACTCTCATATGTTTCGCATTTCGATGAATAGGCAGACCTGGGCAGCTCTATCTTCGGCACTGGACGGCGTGGTGGATTTTCGCATAGTAGGCCCTCCGCCATAATCATCGTAATAAAGCATTAAAGAAGGTCATTTCCAACTGGATTGTTGGGTCCTGGTATAACCTATAGCCATCCGAAAGGCGTATAAAGTGATTATCTGGTCACCGGCTCGCAACAGGTTCGAGCCCCTTGTCTCGTGTGCTGAACCTGCTGGCCACAGACTCGAGCTTGCGGTCCACTTAGCCAAAATCCATACTTCGGCCTCTGTAACCGTTTAATATTTCCTCTATTGACAAATCATGGAACTAATGAAACCGCGCTACTTCGCTCAACTGATGGTCCACTCCCCTATAATTACTCTTCAAGCACACGCCACTCATTCGTCCACTCTTTTCGTGCTTGTCTAATTATGCAACGGTGAACAGCACTGCGTGTAGTGAAACTGTCTGTTATGGTCGTAAGAGGTGGACCAAGTAAACTGGGCTTCCACAGACTCCTGACCGGTGTGCCGTTGAATTCTCAGAAGTCGCGATACTGGTTAAGTAGTGTGTGTTGGCGAATTGAACACAAAACCGAACCAAGGCAACTACTGTCAATAGCACAACTACTATATGTGATATTCGGCACTTGTGTGATTTTATAGGAGCGGGTTTTTCGCAAGTGTTGCATCTTATGTGGGTCAGGCGGCAAAAGCAATGTTCTGTTATACAAATCAAACACACGATTCGTGGGTTTTGGTGAAAACATTGCCACTTCTGTCTATACTCATCTGTAGTCAATTGCACACTCGACTCGGAACATGTTAGTTCGCTCTTGATGACACAGTAACAAGTTCGAACCCAGTTTCATGCTGCCATCTGATTTCGGTCTTCCAAGTCTTTTGATTTTACTCGGATTAGGTTAGCTCCAACCCTAACATCTCCCCCTTGAAGATGTCAATCGTAGGAGCGTTTCCGAGTGTTTATCTTTAAATATGTTATGGTTTCTGAATGCACCTTGGTCTAAGGGTGTTTGGTGCTTCTGAACTTCCTGTAGATCCTGGTGGGTCAAAAGCGTCAATCAGCATGTCAGGAGGCAAATTGTCTATCCTCTTTTTGTGGGCATCCACGACGTTGATCGTAACTGATTCACATGACAAATCCATAATTGTGATTCGACTCGTACCACAATGCGGCACGAGTTTCGTCATTCTAGGCATATCTGTGCTACCTGGCATGTCCCATCATTTTCCCACCTTTGGTCCCAGGTTGGTCGCACTGCCATCAGTCACTGGTGGCTTTGCAGTTTTCAGGACTGCTGTTTCTATTCATCACCACCATAAACAGCAGTACATCAGGCATCTGGACTGATGCTTCGTTGCCACACAGTCATAATGGTCCACGGAATGACACATAGTAAGAGGGAAGAAGTGGGACCTAGCGTAAAAACTAAATACCCTAAATGAACATTTACGGTCAAGGCTCTAACACCTTGTCTACATCATACTTTCATAAGTGGTGGGGCACATGATGTACTCCACTGCTCCGTTTCTCGACAACTTGGTGCATATCTTCGCCTTGGCCATGAATTTTGGTGGTCTAAGCGAGTCACGGGAATAGACGCTGTTGCATCTTCTGGATACATCCGTGGATTGATCTATCTTATCAGATCCAATTTAGACGGTATACAGATCACTAAACTAAGCAATCGCCTGAATGACTGGCCGGGAGCACTTCGAATTTCAATTTACTTACCCAAATACCACCCTAAGTGACATCTCTGTGTCTGACCTGTTTGCACAGGTGTTATTACTGAGGCAGGGATTCAGAGAGAAATCCATTCTCTGAAACGTTACAAATTCTCTAATCCTGGCAGTGTCCCATCAGCTTTGTTCAAAGATGGCAGGAACTTAGTCATCAACGAAATGCCCTCACTGTTTCCGAGGGTATGGAGTGGATCTGTCGTTGTCTAAATTCGCAAGAGACTCCTCAGCGCTTATGGTTAAGTGTCGTGTAATTTTCCGTTGTATATAAATGAGTAAGTTTACCTTTATGCGATGCTTTAAGGTGAAGCAGTCGAGTTTAACAGTGATATAGCATCCAACGATTGTCCGTTTATCTAAACCATCCTTTTAACGTTAAAAATATCGGGATCATCGTTATCTTGAAATACTTCGTTATGTCTTCCATCACCAGTGTTGATATAAACGTTCCGTTTTATCTGTAGATATCCAGATCATAGTGTATTTATGGAGCTTGTCATTGGTGGGTTCTATTTGCTCGATGGATGCCGGTCACGCTTTTCCATTCGTACGCGTAACCAGAAAACGATTGTGTCCTTTTTTGTTCGCGCTCTCAATCTTCGTGTTTATTTGTGATTCACTGATCTTGGAGCTATCCGTTGCATTGGAGCCGTTTCAGATCTGCTCTACTATTAAAATCGATACCATGATAGATTAGTTCTCAAGATAACTTTCATCTCTTTTTTGATAGCCTCTTCTACAAGTGCACAGAAAGAATAGCTCTAAACTCCCCACCCTAGATGATCCGTCTATCGATTGGGAGGAAACCATCTACCTCAATTTGTTGATGCAGTTCGTAAGTCGGCTCAATTTTCGCTATAACCATTTGACCTTAGCTTAGCTCCGCTCCTGAAAACACTCGTATATTTGTCTTTCATGCAAAGTAACTCTGTTGTGTAACTCATGGTGCATCAGAACAGATGTCGGGTAGCAAAATCGTGTCACACCGATTCACAGCTTTTGTTCCTTCTCGTTGTTCCCTTCTTAGTCCCTATTTTGCGTCTTCGGCTCGTTTTCAACGCCCCATTTTTGCTCTCCGTTTATCTATATCCGAGTCAGTCAGGCTCATTTCTATCTCTGAAGGTTTTTCACCTCAAGCACACCCGAACAAACCAGTTCCAAGCCACCTATCTTTTCCCACCTGTTTATTATCAACTCTGGTTCGCCGTCAGCCTATTTCATAGCACGTATTGGAATCGACCTTTATTTACTGCACACGTGAGACACCCGTTTGGCTGCTCAAATACGCATTAACGCCTGCGTGAAACCTGGTCTGCCACTTTGGTAGCGTACGCAATGCGAGACGAACGTGATTCCCACGCCACGCCCCAATCAGAAAGAAGACAGACTTTTCGCATGAGTACTTTTACTGACTCTGTAGACAGGCGATACAGGTCTAGCTACAAATGCCATCGTGGTTTGGAAGTCGCGTGGTCACATTGTGCGTGCCACGCGTCCTAACCCTTTACTTGCATATGCTATATTGAGGCCTGTGCTGCGGAAACGTATCTTAGTGGAATCACATTTCCGCAACATCTCCCGTATCAGGTTCTTCGTCTTTATGCTTACTGTCGGACAGGCTGCGGGTACCGACGGTAGCTATGAATCAATTTCTCCACTCCACTTTGTCATTAATAATCGAGGATCTGCAAGTCCTAGACGCCAGATATTTATATTGAAACCGCTCATCCATTCTGGTGGATCACTGTCGCTTTGGAGCCGGGTGAATCATTTCGCTTGAGAATCAACCTATTGTCATTCACAAATGCAAATTGCACCGCTAGTTTTGCTATTATGTGGATCATTTCACATATTCAATGATTGCCTTGACATCCCGGATCGCCAATGGCTTGAATCCTGACGCGAAGAAATGTGTTCATTTCAACACTTTATTATAATGTGTTGGACAATCCTTCTTCTTGTCTTCATGGTCTCACACCTAGTTAGGCAACGGTAAGCATCAAACTGTTAATACTCTTTCTGTCGCCTGGTTTTCTCAATCTTCTAGTAAATCCACTTGAGTTTCATTGCACTATCCGTTCATTGGAGACTCCATATGTTTAACCATTGTTTGGACCCATGTAGTTTTACGATAATTTACCAATGCAGCGCAATACCTTCTCCATTGGCATTCCCGGTCGTTTCACACTCTCCTCCCTAATTGATGTTTGTTGCAGAATTTTCCCTTCACAAACTTCAAAATAACAAGAAAAAAATACTTTAGCGGGATACACTGAATTCAGGTATTTCGAGTGTTCCCGTCAGCTGTTTACACGCATTCGTGAAATTATCGCGGCCGAATTGGTGTGATTACACCAAGTTAGGAAGTTGCTCAGCAAATCTAACCTAGACAAGCCACCCTCACGTTACCGCCTCTAGTGTTTACCTATTTCACTGTAATTGTGGTAGGAAGTACGTTGGCCGAACTGAGAGGAGGGTATCCACTAGGATTTCAGACCGCATTCCACGAAACATGGTCGCTAACGGTCCCAAACTGCTGGCTAGCTCTAGTGCTCAACACGTCCTGGATTGTACTACCTGCCGACGTCCTCGTGGTTTGTTTAATGTAATTAACCTACAGAGCAATGCTCGATTGCTTCAGTTTGCCGATGCCTCAGCTATTCGGCGGCTTAAGCCCAATTTGTGCGTCCAATCTCGCCCTACCTTGGTGAGGTTATTGATCGTTTTTCTTTGAACTGAATGACCTTGTACATTGCTTCCACTTTTCTATGCAACGCGATAATTTTACAAATATGTGTAAACACCTGAGGAGAACACTCGAAATACCTGAATTCAGCATCTCCTGTTAAAACCTTTTCTCTTCTTCCTATTTTGTAATTGATGTTTTTGTCTGTTTCAGCAGTTGAGGTACATCACATCCTCTACCTCTCAGGCCATCTCACTCTCCTACTCTTAGACTTTTGATACTCTCTCCGTCCATCAGCCAGGTCTTTAACTCTCTCATATTTAAACCTCCGGACCTTTCTTCAAAAATTTTCCCCCAATACTTCCACCGATATGCAACACCACGCTTCGTTCTGGCTGTGTCCTAGTGCTACCGGTTTTCGTCTAAACCAATGAGTTTTGTCTACCCAATGTTGTTTGTAGTCATTGTCCCTGTTTCGGTTGTCACGCCCCAGTGCGCATGCCTTCATGCCAATTGATCAACCAGTTCCATTCACCAGGGTATATGGGGTCCATATTTGTCAAACTCCACTGGTTTTCTCGCAGACGGGTTTGCAGAATAAGTTTCTTGATCCCACCTTACACTTTCTCCATTTGCTGCTGACGACGCTTTATATCACATCTCTGTACTCCAGATGCCCTTTTAACTTCCTTCAGTTTATCTTACTCCATCAAACCGGAGCCGCTGTGAACAGGTGGATTTCGGCCACCGACTGAACGTGCACCGAATCACCCCTTTTCCAGAAGGGGATCGGTTGTCGTTACTACACTTTCCGGTATGCCTCGAGGCGATTCACCCTTCCATTAAGCCGTTGACGTGGAGCTAAATGCACAGTACCACCTGAGATGGGAATCTGGACTCGTATTGAGGGATTAGTGCTGTGTGTGAAACACTTCAAACTATGCACTAGTTCTTCTGACAATTGCACCGCATTCTAATTTCCAAACCACTTCCTTTGAAATGCCTTAGGCGCTTAGGAGTTGATTCCTATTCGCACTACTTCAAAGCAAACAAGTGTGAAAGACTGGGCGGAGCTTCTCCCGTAAACCGTTGTCTCCATACTCCTTTATTGTATGATTATCAAATCTCTACGTTGAAGCGCAACACTCAAATTAGACTCAATGCCCACTAAGAAGTGTTTTCTACCTTTCTCAAACTTCGTCACCACTGTTCACACCTCTTCTTTAGGTTTCATCCGAAAACTTTTTCCATTAGCGCAGCAATCAAGCAACGGACTCTGACAGTGTACTGCATGAAGGCCTTACAGTTATACCCTATTTTATAACAGAATCCCCATTTCGCTTGAGGCGTTTTCACCTTTATGACCTGTATCATTTCGGCCAACTCACTTTGCATTCCGCTGAATTTCTTGCACTATGTGTCTTCGAGACACGCACACACGATACAACTATTATAATGCATCTATAGCTAATGGTCATGAATTCCGTTGCCGAAGATGAAGTACTGAATATCTGGTAACACCGAGTTTACAGCTTGCTGTATTTGCGCCATCAGGAACTTATAGAACAGGTAATAACGACATATCGAGCTCCGTTAATGACTGCTCTTATTGTCCTATATGGAATCCATAGCAAAAGTATAATGTCTAGCACCTCAAGGTTTACGTGTGGAGCGCCGTTGCAAAGTCTCACACGAGCCTACATAAGTCCGATCCCAGACGACCATCTGTGGATTCGGCGTACACTTGTACGAGAGGCCTATGTTCGTTCACATCAGCGGATGAGGCTAACTAACGAATTCGACGATTCTCTTCCAAGGGGCATGTTGTAGAGCGAAGTATAGTAATCATAATCTTCGGCAAGTCAGGGGGTAAACACCCTAGGTGAAGTGACGATCATCATTCTCATGTGATCCACAGATCCCAGTTTGCATGCTAGACACTACTTACCCTCCAACGGCTCTGCAGCAGTCTATTCTCCATTGTGTTTATTCATTGTGTTGCCTTTTTCCATCTACTCTGTCTATGCCGGAGTATATTCATCGTCAGTGCGTCTTTTTCTCTAGTTCGTGTATGTAGTTACGGTGGCTGTGTGCACGCGAACTGGCCCGCAGGAGTTGCAAATCCTCAACAAATTTTCCGAGGTAGGAGCCTTTTTATGCACTTGTATTAGAAGTTGTCAAAATTTGATCCATCGAACGTTGTGTTGATCAAACCGGATTTCACTTCATCGTTTGTCGAAGTACCCGTCTCACCAATCAGATCCACCATAGCCGTTCATTAGATTTTTACTGCTCTCAGGCTAGTGGTCGTTCCTATTACCCCAAGTTACTGATAAGATCCCCAATAGGACGAAACGATTGTCTGGTGCCTTTCCAGATTGGTGGTTGGGTTATCCCGCTTGTGAGCTGCCAGAACGGACCGGTAACATTTCATCTAAAATTTCCACTCATCAGTAGTTTTACTCATTGTCTTTTCTCGCTCATGTATTAATCGTAGAAGCAGATGACTCTCTTCTTCGAATCGTCTTGTTTAGAATCTGGGATGACTTGTTAGCACACCCCTTTTGGTGTTTGACTGTGGCTGCGTTTGGAGTCTGCACGAACTCTGTGCTACGTGGATTTGCGACATAATTCCTCACGACGCCCTCCGTAGATGCTAACTGTAGTCGTCATTCCTCCTAACGTGTTCTAATCGAAACTCGCTTTTATTGATGCTCTCTTCTGGCAATGTTTTGGAGTATGAAGCAGAATTTTTAACACTTTTTGTGCCACCTCGTCACAAACTGCATGTAAAGCTATGACTCTGAGATCATATTTGATGAAATTTTGTACGTCCTAGATACACCATTTCATGCATTCACTATTTCATATCGCATCATCTTAGCTTGTTTATTTCACCAACGTGCATGATAACATTTGGCAATATAAGGGACGCTTCTAGTGCTGCCGCGCGCAGCTTGCCTATATGGGTACCGGGACTAACGTCGATCGACGATCTGTGCTCTTTTCATGCATCTAAACATCAATGACCCTTAAAAACATTATTCTTTCATCCTTCAAAGTCATTTTTCCCTTTGTGAGTGCTTAGTGATGCTGTACAATGCGCTATACTAACACTGAATTGTGGGATTAAGTGGATCTTCTGATCTGTACAACTCCATCGGAATGTACTCTAAGCGTTCTTCAATTTCTTATGTGGCATTCAAAATCGTCTGACTTACAATATCATTTGACTCACAAATGTAAGAAGTCATTGCCAATGTTCAATCGTTCTTTGAAACGGATTGCGGTGAAATGTAAATCCAACAACTTTTTGAAACGCTGCACAGATTTGGTCTCCACGACCCTAGTTAAGTCAAGTCAAAAACTGCTTTGTACACCTTTGGTGGATGAATATTCAGCTACAACACACATGATCTCATAAATATACCGGGATATAAACAACCAAGGTGAGCGCTTAGATCGGCTTTGCTGTAAACAACAGGAGGACTAGTAGCATTTCAATGGTTCAACGTCGCCAATGTTGTGCAGACAACTGCAGTAAACTGCTTAAGATCAGTATCACCTGTTCAAGCTGCATTAGATCGTACTGTCCGCAATGTGTAGGTAAATCTGTCCAAGAAGTGAGACAGACAAACCAAGTTGCTGACACAATTTGGTTTTGCCCAACATGTCAAGTCATCCCAGTGGTCAACTGCTTATCTTTGCTCATGAAAAAATGCGATAGGATGACAGAAATAATCGCGCAATTTGTAAATACTAAGATCCCTCCCCCGGAGGTAAATACGGCCACGACAATATCTCACCCGGCCAAAGTAAGCTCTGAGTCTAAACCGAAGAAAAGAGCTAGACGCTCCAACCGCACTGCAGCGTCTGTGACTCTAAATCCACTGGGTCACCTCACTCCCACAAGTGGGCAAGCCTCAAACATACCTGCTTCCACTTCTCCAACCATAGAGGCTTCACTTGGAGATGCACCCATGACGCCGACAGCTCAGAGCCGTAGGAAATCCGGTGCAGATAACAAACAGGTGACGTACGCATCGATTGCGTCGACAAACACACCGGGAGGGACACACCTAGGTCCATTTTCAGTACCGAGCACGCGTGGCGCAAAGCAGCTTTCACCGCCAACTCCAATGGTGTCCTCTAAACAAAGCGAATTGCCAACAACAAGTATAAAGCTAACACTCACTAGACAAAACCACGCTGCGTTAACCCTCGTGTGCACCAATGTTCCCGAATCCAAATCTGGAACAACAAAAGGTAAATTGCAAGACGATCGCAACCAGTGGAGTTCCATCTGCGAGGCAATTAACATTCGGGTTGAGCCTGCAATGCTGCAACGCGTAGCCCGTCACCCGACCTCAGTGCACTCGGGTGAACCTCGAATTCTTCGAGTAACACTAAACTCAGCAGATGAGACAGAGGCTGTCCTGCTCTCAGCAGTTCGTCTTCGCAACTCACCGAGCGGAGTACGCATATTGCCTGATCTACCTTGGAAAGATCGCGCAAAAGAAGCAGTGGAGCAACACGGTATTGCTAATAGAAATAGCAAGAGAACCATATTTGTTCATGGAGTTCCCGAGCTTCTACATTCTTCTGATCACGATGCACAAACTCATGACCGAGAGCAGTGGTGTTACATCCGCGAAGCACTCTCTGTAGACAATGTTATTGCCAAATCCCTGACAAGAGTGCCGTCATCACCTAACTACAAGGGCTGCGGTCCAAGGCTAATTAAAGTGACACTACACTCTGAAGGAATGACGCAAGTTCTGTTAGATAGCTGGTTAAAGTTTCGATCTAGGCTGCCAACAGAGATCCGGCTAAAAGCAGCAGGTGAACGATCAAAAGTCGGAAGCAAATCAACGGAACTTGCAAACGCAGCAAATTCCTTATCTGCACAGTCCTGCGGAGAGACCAACACAACTGCGCCCACGGCACACAGGAGGACCGAGCACAGCACCAGTGAAACTTCTGTTCAGGAACGCTTAATAATGCCATACAACACGACTGAAATACATAAACCAAAAAACGATTAATTGCCGGCCACCTAACGGCCGGCTTAAAAGCGAACACAAACTTGACATCAATCAATGAACTCCTAACAACAAAAGCCCTATCTTGCATGTATACAAACGCCCAAGGCCTTTTAAGCAAGCTGGCAGAACTTAGAGAACTCCATGCCGCACAACCGCGGGACCTCGTCATGATTACAGAGACATGGTTAAACCCTGAGATAACCGACTCTGAGATCAATTTATCCGGTATGTCACTGTTTCGGACCGATAGAACCGGAAGGGGAGGCGGTGTGATTCTTTATTACAATACCAACCTCCGATGTGAAGTCATCGACCACCCAGAACTCAAAGCACCCGATTCGCTTTGGTGCCGCCTATGGTTGCGAAACAAGGGCACATGTCTACTAGCCGTGATTTACCGCCCGCCAAACTCAACTTCGGAAATGGACTCCAAACTGAACCACATTTTCCAGTTTGCTTTAAACAAGTCCTACACCCACATTCTTATCGCTGGAGACTTTAACGTGCATGACATAGAAACGCCGGCAACCGATGGTATGCAGTTTAAAGCCTGCTTGCAAGAGCTTATTGCTAGCCACCCTCTTTACAACCACGTAACCTCTCCCACCAGATTTCGAACTGCTAACAAGCCGTCGATACTGGATCTTGTGCTCACTAACGAAGAACTCATGATTGACGGGATAGTTACAAGCACACCACTGGGTCGTAGTGATCATGTTACTCTACTCTTTGACTATATTTGCTATGCGGAGTACCCTGAAAAGGAGGTTGATAGAGTGCATACTGTCACACACTACAATGTGTTGTCTAAGCTTGCTAAGGATACATCTTGGACTTTCTTAGCCGAATGCCCCCCAGATGTTGCCTGGGAAACATTTACAAGGACGTTTAGTACACTGGTAGCGCACGCATCAGAGGAGAAGTCCTTCCAACCTAAAAACAAGCGTAATTCATTTCTGAGGAGCAGGACACGTAAATATATGTCCCGGAGGGATTTGGCATCGCCAGATCACCAGGACTGCCCGAATGCCGAAACGTGGACTGCATACGTGACCCATCGTAACTTCTGTGTGAAACTGATCCGCGAAGACAAGGTCACTCATCAGCAGAAGTTAATGAAGCGCTTCTGTACGAACCGCAAACTCCTGTACAGGCACGTTAACGGCCTTCGAAAGGTAAAGCGAGGGATTCCAGCACTAGTCACGGCTGATGGGTGCACGCGATCAGCAATGGAAGCAGCTGATCTCCTACGGCTTCACTACTCCAAAACTTTCCAGGAGGTAACGAGCACGAACATTCTCCTCATTCCTACTACTCCTTCACCTGGTTTAGAAAACATCACCTTCACTGCGGAAGCTGTGTTGAAGAAGTTGTTATCCTTGCGTATCCACAGTTCTCCCGGAGCTGATAACATCCGACCAAAGGCTCTACAGGCATTAGCTAGTGATCTAGCAGCACCACTGGCTATTTTCTATCAGCGATGTCTAGAGAAGAACCGTATTCCACCAGTATGGAAGGAAGGGGTCATCACTCCTATTCATAAAGGAGGTAGCCGCACTGATCCTGCCAACTACCGTCCAATAACACTACTTCCAGTACTATCCAAAGTGATGGAATCAATCATCGCAGACGCGCTGATGGAATACATGGAAAGCCACAATTTAATAGCCCCAGAGCAACATGGCTTTCGTCAAAAGCATTCGTGTAATACTAACCTATTAATTGCACGTAATAGCTGGACTGAAGCTGTTGATGATGGAGTAGGGGTCGATGTCATCTACTTGGACTTTTCAAAAGCATTTGATCGCCTCAACCATCGCATTCTCCTTTACAAGCTTCGTAATTATGGCATTGGCGACCCAATCCTGAGTTGGATTGACAATTTTCTACAAGAACGACGGCTAGTGGTGAGAGTCCGAGAATCATTGTCTGATGCAATCGATGTGGCGTGCGGAGTACCACAAGGCTCGGTTCTTGGACCTCGTCTATTCTTGGTGTTCATTAACGATTTGTCGAGATCAATTACTTCCGATTTCCTATTTTTCGCTGATGATATCAAGATATGGCGAAGGATCAGAGGGCCGGAAGACCATGAAC